TTATTCCGTGTGCTGAACATTAAGAATAAAGAGTGTAAAGCCACCCAAGCTTTTTACTACTCCTGTCACCAATGTTTAGAGGTTCAACTGTAACCCTTTACATTCTGGTGGCAGCGGTGGTTGTGCGCCGTACAGCTATCCACCGCCATACATTCTGGTGGCAGGCGGTGGCCATTGCGCCCTTTTGATGCGCAACCGAACCAAGCTTCTCCGAAGAAAAACCGCTCGCCGCAAGATGACATTCTTTAAAACCGTGAGTACACATTTGGGCCCCTTCTCCTTTCATTTCCTTTCTATTTTTCCCTAAATGTGTTAAGCCATGTACAGCCATGCTCACGTTAGGTTTTTATTGGGAAAAGTACTAAGTGGTCACAATGGCATGCTCTCATTCCTGACCTCACATCTCATTACTGTGTGATAGAGTATGAAGTCAAACATTAAGAATATCATTCATTTAGTAAGTGTCTATTTTAATTTTTTGTGATTATATTATATTGTTCCAATTGCAACGAATTTAGTGCGTTGGTGATTTTATTCCTTTCACGAATATTCAGTCATTAAATTCTCTCACCATTTCCTGTCTTGACCTGACCTCATGTGAATGTCATTAGTCAGAGCCCGCTTGAAACAGTTGGGACGATTCTGACCTCACTTTCACTGAAGTGATTGACACAGGAAATGGAGAAAAACAGCTTGCCAATTCCCTTTTAATTGTTTTCACTAATTGTCACAATGTAGGGATAATGCATAGCAATCGTTACATGTTCATTGGTGATACGTTTTATCAGCGCTAGAACGAAACTTGTAACGCGACTTGTATAATTGAATATAACGCCAAGAGATATCCTCATAGCACAGTGTCAGAGTGTCTGAATACTTGAGGTGGTATTTTATGCGTAATGTACTCACGTATGAGAGTAAGTTAGGAACTTTGAGCCAGGGTGACCGCAATTATGTTCATTAATGATCCACTTAATTAATCACAACCCGCTCACACTTTTAAATGTCACCGGCATGTTGGGTAGATCCCATCGGTTTGTGATTCATGATAAATCCCCGTAGGGCATTTCATGAGCGCGTATCATTGATCCGCAGATAGAGTGGGTTATTTATAGATTTTCCCAGATCGTTTAGCTTCATAAAATACGGCATTTTTGGGTTCAAGTCCTCCTGTCAATGAAGCCTGCATGCACGGTGAAGACATTACTTCCTCGGCATATCCCGAGAAGATTCGCTCGCGAAGAGACTTGCGAATAATTTTCACGTCACCATTCATTAATGCGTCATTCTGTCGCATGTCATTAAATCTTAAATTCAATGTGATAGTTGAAATAATTTTGAATTACGTCTATAAATTAGTCGCATTATTGTTAAAATGAACTTTATTCAACGTGTTGGCAACACTACTACTCTACATGAGGTCACTCTTACTTTCATTGACACTCATCAGTCACAAATCGTCGTCGGCGATTCTAAAGGGCCGCGTCAGTGCACAAGGGCTAAATTCCATTCTTCTGTTCCCCCCATATGTGTGCTACGAGCCAGTCATTTTTATATGTACAAGTGCTTAGGTCCGTAGGGAAACTTGCCTCCTGTAGTATTCGACGCCAAATACTTTCCTTTCCTGCTGCAGAAACGGTCACCTTCGGAAGCCATTGAAAAACGTTATCGGAAGATCGCCAGAAGCCTGGAGACCAGGATGCTTGTTAGAGTAGGTATTAAGCCGCCCCAGGACGTGGAAGGGCGCCGCCTGCCAGGACGTCCGGAGATCCAGCGAAGACAGGAACTCACCAGTACAGGTTCTCGCCGTCCCATGATGCTGTGGACGGGTGCCGCCTGCCTGGACGCCGCAGACCCAGTCACGCTCCAGGAGCTCGTTAGTGCAGGTATCAGCCGCTCTGCGATATCGAAGAGGATGCTTCCTGCCGGACGCCCGTAGATCCTGACGACGATTACGAGGACGTCTGTACGAGCGCACAGCCGAGAAGGACCTGGACGAAGATCTGTGAGACGTGCATTGGGCGAGTAAGCCGCCGAGTTAGACCTGTACCCGGATTACGAGGAAGTCTGGGCGAATCCGAATCAAGGAGGACCTGGGCGAGATGTTCGAGGACGTGAGGATGTCGAGGACGAACGGATTACCAGGGACCAGGACGAGGATGACGGCAAGGACGAGCAGCCACGGAGATACACCAAGGATACCTCACCCGAGATCGAGGACGAGCAAGTTAGGACCAGCCAGGTTGGGTCACCCTTGAGGAGAGTCTAGATCGCCTCGAGGACGAGCCGTGAGTAGGTAGCCGAGCAATATACCGTGTATTATATAGGCCTGCGTGGCTCTCACATGGACAATCACAGATGCCGCGTGGCTTGACGCCCCACGCTACCAAGCCAAAGCGACACTGCCCTCATCTTCCCGGTGACTAGGGCTGCTCGGATACTTAAGGCCTGCGTGTGACCCCGATCATCAGAGTGTGCCGGCCGCTGGCTGGTCAAGGTCGGCGCCTGTCCGGCTCAGATCAGGGCTGACCACCCGGCCCTTCCGCTGACCCAGCGTTACCCAAGATTCTCGTCGTTGTGTTAAACTCACCCCGTGTGCTGAACTCTTAATAATAAAGAGTGTAAAGCCACCCAAGCTTTTTACTGTCCTATCAACCAATGTTTAGAGGTCTTCCCAAACCCTTCACAGAGAGGTAGTACTGCGGACAAAGGTGGACAAAGGGTGTAGAGCTGTAATAAATGAGGAGGGGGTAGAAGATGAAGATGGCTGTGGGGGTGGAGGATGGTGGGAGAGGAATGTTTCTGGATGTTGAGTAATGACCAGAGTGGATGATTTGGACTGGACCGAGGTAGTATTAGGCTTTGAGGTGGAGGTAGTAGTAGTAGTGTTTAATCATGTGGTCAAAGGATTAATTAATTATTTAAAATTATCTGCCGCATCATGTGGTCAAAGGAGAACCTAGAGTCAGGAGAACTGAAATCGGTAGGGCCCTTTGATAAAGAGGCAATCCATATTGCCCATAATAAGGCCAAAATCTTCCTTACTGGCCATGAAATTCCTGGAGTACCCCTCAGGTTCCCTTTATGGGGTAACTGCTAGACAACTAAACGGGAATACCGTGCACATGGCTCCCCCAGGCTGTTCATGATTGGCACACAGTCAGCCTTTCATCCTTCTCACACCTTAGGAAGTTGATGGTAGAAGGAGTCAGAGAAGATTAAAATTAGTTGAGTCGAGGCCTGAGTCCCAAGGTAGGGATGATGCCCAGCAAATCCATCTCCTAAGTCCCTCATGGCAACAACGGGCATGGGATTTGGGAGGGGGGGGGGGTATTAATGATAAAATAATGATAAGAACAGTGGTACCAACATGATTTATATGATAATGATATAATAATAATGCTCAATAATGATAACAAATTAATGATGTGACTACTAATTCCTACAAAAGTAGTTCTAAGAAGTTTTGTTCGAATAGTTCCAACAATATACAGATAGTCCCCTACTTAAGAACATTCTGCTTATGAACATTCCATACATACAAACAACATTTTTAAGTACTAAAGTCCAAAAAATTGTTTGAAAGATGCTAGCAAACTTCAAATTTCCCGGGCACCAATATAATTCAAGAGTCTGGTACTGTATAAGGTATGTCATACTTTTTGGGATTTATTTACAGGTATTCTTAATGTAAACAAAACCTTAAAACAATGGGAAAAAAGGTAATGGAGACCCGACTTTCGACATACAAACAAATCAACTTACAAACAGCCTCTCGGTCCCCATTATATTCTTAAGTTGGGGACTTATTGTACAAGTAGCAGTTTCAAGTGCTAGTTGTACTCACAAAATACAACAGATACAGTACTTATGATGATGACAATGATGATGATAAAAAAAAACAGTTATTAGGGAGAGCAGAAGGAAAATACTGCTAGTAATGATAGCAGCAATGACAGTGATAATATTAATAATAATAATCCTAGTAATAACTACAAGGCTGATAATGATAACAATAATAATAATAATGGTTTCAATGTCAACATCTTAAGCTATAACCTTGGTAATAGCAATAACTAAACAGAAAAAAATACAGACATAGGTAAAAAAGAAGAAATAAAGGGTGAGAAAAGTGAAATAAAAAGAACAAGAAAAATCGTACAATGATCCCATCAGGCCCTCCCTCGCTTACCATCCATTTGTATTTCTTTTACTATAGTCCTTTATTTCTCACCCTGGTTAACTGCACTTGCGTGGTAAAGCTTTGGTACATTTGATGCATGGTTGTAGCATTGTTTAAATAGCACTACATCTAAAAATTCAGGATGTACCATTATTAAAATCTGCATTTAATCAGTCAATAGGAAAGTTTATGTATGTGAAATAAGGCACTATGATTTCTTAGACTTAGTTATCAGTGGATTCCCCAGTTGATTATCAAACTGAGATTAACTACATAAATATTCGGACAATGCAAAATAATATATATATATATATATATATATATATATATATATATATATATATATATATATATATATATATATATATATATATGGCAAAGAATATATGAACAAAGACATTGTGAAATATTAATATGCATCAAAAAGAAGAGGAGGAGGAAATATGGTGAAGATGAAAAGGATGGTGATAGAGAACAAGGAGAAGAGGGGGAGGAGAAGGAAGAAAAGAAGAGGATGAGGAAGAATAAGAATAATAACATCTGGACATGGCACCCCCCCCACTCTCTCCCTCCCTCCCTTTCTTCCTCCCTCCCTCCCTCCCTTCCTTCCTCCTTCCCTCCCTTCCTTCCTCCTTCCCTCCCTTCCTTCCTCCTTCCCTCCCTCGCTTCCTTCCTTCCTTCCTTACTTCCGTCCTTCCTCCCTCCCTCCCTTCCTTTCTTCCTTCCTTCCTTCCTCCCTCTCATATACATATACTGCATTTGACTGAAAAAAATACCCATACTGGTATATGGAGTGAAGATTGAAAAAAAAGGGGAATACATTTTTCTATAATTTATTTACTTCATACAAAAAGACTGGTTTTAATATTAACAATAAGAAATAAGTAAGCTAACAACATAAAAGTTATACTACAACCACAACTGTTTTAAACAACTAGTATATCAAGAAAGTATAGAAAAATAGTGTCATCATCACATTGTTTCAAAAGAAATTACTCTTAAATCCTTCTTTCAAGTCGGTGAGATTCAGAACATCAAGATTTCATCTTCTTGCTCGTCCCTCTCTTTGAAGATTTTGTTCTTTTTCTTCTCCGTTTGCGTCCCCTTTTATTCGCTCCCGGGCCGACAGCTCCGGGAACTAAAGGCCTTTGGATTCTCTTGTTGAACTGGTTGTGGTAATCGATGAGGGAATCCGTCTGTTCACTAATTGGGATGAAATTCCTACTGGGTGATGTTGGTATCTCGTACTCTTCTTCCGATTCTGGAAATATGGTTAGGGCTATTTTGAGAATATGGTAGGGCAATTTTGAAAATACGGTAGGGCTATTTTGAAAATATGGTAGGGCTATTCTGGAAATATGGTAAGGCTATTTTGAAAATATGGTAAGGCTGTTCTGGAAATATGGTAGGGCAATTTTGAAAATATGGTAGGGCTATTCTGGAAATACGGTAAGGCTATTTTGAAAATAT